TACAAAATCAAACACCAATCACACGTTGAAATGCATACACACATCTCCATCTTCACCATCTACACCATAAACCACCACAATTCAAACAAGAAGACATCACATTCAAGCTGGTCCCTTCCCTTTCATATCCACTTCCACCTCTTAGCCTTTTCCCTGGCTCACCCTCATCAAACACCGATTTCTCCTGCATTTAATCTGCCCATGTCCCCAACAGCAAATGGAATGTCGCACTCAGCTGGAGCTTGGCCTTAACCAAATGTTCCACCCCTTCATCTGCCTGGAAGTAATCTCCAATCAAGTCGGCTGAGATCTTCCCTTAGTGCCCGAGATATTCCACTTGAGGATTTGAACATGTTGCAGGATTTTGATGCTCAACAACTCGTTATGAATGACTTGGCCTCTTTTGCACAATCACGTTCTAATTCTGATTCTTTGAATTGTTCTGGACGGTCTATGGCTTTATTTCCTTCCAATCTTGACGAGCTCTTTTCAGCTGAGGACTCCTTGTCTCCCAGTTACTCTAATCAGGCAGTGGCTTCTGGGATTATCTCTCTAAGGCACAAATCAGTTGTTCTTAATCAATTTCAGCAGCAGAGCATGCTTTCGCCAATGAATAGTAATGTTTTTTCTCCTAAAAGTGGTGAGTACCCCTTATTTCAAGGATCCTTTGGTATATCGTCTCCAAGAATGTCACCACGAACTGTGGAGCCCATTTCCCCAAGGAATACTCGCTTCTCTGCCTTTGCTCAGAACGAGATGCAGCTGCTGTAGCATCTAAGCAGCGTCAGCTCCCGGGAGCTTGGATCCAACTTTGCCTCTCTTGTAGGGAGATTTCTTCGCACTACATAATGGTTTCCATCGGGTTCTTCAGATTTCGAAATATTCCTTTCGTTCAGCGATATGGGTTATCAAATTTCGGGGGTTGGGGGTTCCTTCACCGTCGCCGGTCATCAAGATTTCAGGCTGGGTTTATGGGTAGATCTCAATTTTTGGGAGAGATCTCCAGATTTCGCATTTCGCAGGTTACCATCGGGATCTCATGAATTTTGGGGAGAGAAATGTGGTGTTTGATTTTGGGATTTTTTAGTTTGGGCCGGGTCATCATTTTGGGCCGGGTGGACACGTAACCGTGTAAACCAGCGGGTAAGGCAAAGGGTACCTGTAGCGCGACTGAATATATTTTCAATTTTAAGTGTAGGAAAATTTCCATTAAACGACTAACATGGCCCCTGTAACGAACTTTAGGCCTGTTAACCCAAGTCAGCTGACCATACGCACCAGGTTATGAGAAATCCTGCAGGCTTAATCACTCGAGTCAAGTAAGCTTCGAAAAGTAGCATTAAGATATTGAACCAACATATATTTATTCAGGCAGGGAGAATATCGAGCTTAGGTTTAATTAAAATGGTTAATTCATGTTCAAAGTCACCCTACTAACATGTGACTGTCATCTCAAATCTCACACACGTGGTAGAGTCCCACTATCAAGATTATAGTGTGTACAGTGCAGATGGTATATGAAGATACCTATATTAAATACTCCACAAGCATCCTAAGTTGGCTATGGAAATTATATTACAACCCACTAAATAAACTTAGTCTTGATTAACAGCCACAAAATCAAGTGTATTGTGTATGATGATGTAAAACCAATTTTCAAATCAAA